TTCTAATAAACTCCTTTTCTGCAACTTAAAAAAAAAAAAAAGAAAATGGGCTTTTCTACTAAACAGGTTTTTCTTTTAAAGCACAATTAACATATCCTTTGCCACCCGAAAGGAAAAAAAAACCACCAAAAATCATAGGAAGGAACTAATCACATTGAAACAAATAATTCAGTAAGATAAAGCTGATAATTGACTCACTGATATAAAGCATTTAAAATAATTTCCCAATGGAAGTCACCATCCCTTAACTTTCATCTAAATATACTTTTAGTGAAGAATACTTGCAGAAATACAATTACAAAGCCCAAACTAACCTGAGAGCTCTGCACACAGAGATGGTTCACTATAAGGCTGCCTCCTAACCAGCAGGGAGTCTGTGCCTCATTGCTACACTAAAAAAGTACAGTTAAATCAGGTTCATTCTCTGAATTTTTCTATCCTCACTATTCAGGCAAATAAATGAAGACAGAAAAGTAGTAGTGAACAATACATGCTGAATCTTGGACATTATGTTAGTACAGGCTAAAATATCACCCGTGAAAGAGATGGGCAAAATACTTCAGAAATAAATGGTTCTAACTGTAGTATCAGGATGTTATTCTGCTGTAATATGCTTTGTATATTGATAACAGAATCTATTATTAAAAATGTCACATATGGAATACGTAAGGGAGCAACACAACAGTGTGTTAAGAAATGAAATACCTGTTGTCAATATGTTCGACATTTTTAAATATTTGTAAATTTTTTGTACTGATGTTGAGAGATTCCTATTAATTTTTTCGTTTTACATCAGATACTAACTTCGGATACAGCCATGAAGTATTTATTGGACTACAATTTTCATTATCTTCTTTTACCTTTGAAATATTTGTACCTACTAAATACAAGGTTTCTGTATTGGATCAAGCAATTCTGCCAGTTTTTCCTCCTTCGCTAACTAAAAATCAACTTTATCCCTATTTCTATGTTGTTTTAATTTCATACTTCACTTCAGGACAAAGAAGAGATAACACTACTTAGAGAAACCCACAGCGATAACTTTTGAGTAGTGAAAGAATCACGCTACTTTGTTTAGCTCTAAACACAGACAAATTCGATGATTTGGCAATTTCCCTAAAAACACNAGCGGTTCGAGTCAGCCCAAGCTGAGCAGCCGTGAGCTGCCAACAGGTGGCGGGATGGCTCAGCTTAAAAAAAAAAAAAAAAAGACAATTCAGCTAGATATAAACTTCGGGTTCAGTGCGTTTTCCTTTCAATATTTTTTAAAACTATGTGGTTTTTTTTTTTAATCTATCTTCCTGCATCCATATAACTATTGGGAAACCTGATGTCAGTCTGAATCTTGTTCCTTTCGCGGTCATCTGCTGTCTCGTTTTGGAACCTTTTAAACATTCTGCATTTTGTTCTTGGTTCTAATATTCCACATTCATGAGTCCAAAAGTAGGTTTTCCTTCAGGCCTCTGTTTGCCTTTCTGAGTCCTTTTAATATGGAGTTTTCTTTCTTCCTTTATTCTTTATTATTTCTTCAAATATTTCTTCCCCTCAGTTTGTTCCCTTTCCTTTCTAAACTCCTCTTATCTAAATGTCACCAATTCTACTTCTATCTTTTGTATATCTTAGTTTTCTTTTATATTTTCTATCCCTTTATTCTTTCCTGCTACCTTACAGGAGAACGTCTCAATCTCTCTTCAAGCTCCCATTATATACATTTTTTTTTTTTTGGTTTGCTGTTTTAAGTGAATAATGTGAGCTAATTTTATAAAGTAATTATTAGCAGTCTGCCTTCATCAGGCAGCTTATTTGTAAATGTAAAATTAAATGCACCAATATAATAAGTAAATATTACCAACAGGAAAAATGAGGCAGGAAAGTTTAAAATACAATTCTGTGGTGAGGTTAAATGTGATATAAAGAATTCCTGGTTTATTTTTTGTTCTTAAATTGCATTGATGAAAAGCTTGGCCCCTTTTGCATGTTCATTAAATGCATGAAAATTTTGAAACTTTTCTTTAAAAAGATAAAGGATTCAAAAAGAAATCTTCTAAACGAAAAATTCTCACAACAAATAACCACCCCAAATTGCAATAAACCAGAATATTTACTCACACTCGGGATAGTTGAAGACTTTTTCCTTTCTGTCCCTACAAGAGGGCTGGCAGTCATCTCGCTTTTTGATCCAACTGTTGTGCTGCCATGTTTACGAGCTGTGACATCTTTGTCCCATTCCTCTTTCTGTTCACTTTCCATGCTGTTAGCCTGAGGCCTTTTCGTATACGATACGGCAGGGGGAATGGATGGACCAGCTATGATAATAATTAAAACAGCATAATCAGCTACAAAACAACGGACATAGTTTCTTCTTACAAGCAAAAGCTGTATTAAAAAAATCTTTACTTGCATATTTGACACTCTGAAGTAAGATTAAACTGTTTAATCACAAAAATGAGGTCACTCCCTGTAAAAGGGATTATATTTATCATTCAGCAATAGAAATCTGTGGAAACTGGCATGACATAAGCACATGAAGATGTGATGGATAATGCTTAAAAAAACACAAGTTTGGGCAGACTCGGTCCGGCTTGTCACTTAATTGACTTTTCCCCCACCATGATCACTAAAACGCCGCTGCTTCTGATTGGCTGAGATGCTTCGCTGGGCCTTCAGGTGAGCAGGGGACTGGAGGCTGCTGTTGTTTAAGTCACTACTGGGCCGTGACCTCTGACTCAAGTTTCCGCTGGATAATGACTCACCGCCTTCAAACTGTAAGAAGAAGAAAGACCACCGGCATTGGAAACCCCGAAATGTTTATGCGACTAATACGCACTCTTGAATTTCTAACCTATTCCAAGCCATACAAGGAATAATCAGAAGTTAAAATAAAGGAGTTTCGATACAGAACTGCAGGCTGGCAAACAGGATGGCATGGAACAGGATAGAACTTGCAACTATGAGCACGTGTGACCCTCTATTACCTTGTCCGGATGCTCTGGAGCCTTGGTTTAGTTGAAACACCAAACAATTGGTACAATTATTGAATGGTTATTATATACCAGGCACCGTGCTAAGCTCTTTATATAAATGACTTATTTAATCATTACAAAAGCCTATGATTTATTAACCTGCACTTGATAGATGGAAAAATTGAGAAGCCAAGGGACATCTCTGGATTCAAACTCAAGATAAAACCTAAAATTTCAGCTTTATACACACACGTATGTGCACATAGTTTCTGTTTTGTTTTGTTTCCTCCACTACATTTACAGAACGACATTTGGTTTATTAGCTCTGATCAAGAAATTGCACCGACTTAGAACTCAGCAGGGTACACTGGGGATGGATGCACCATCCTTCTGTCTGTGACATGAAAGATGTTTGCTGTCAGCAAACTTTTAACTAAATCACTGGCGTCCCAATGGGAAACCTAGACTCATATGTAAAGATGCTAACGACAAATAGCAGAATGACACATGACGAAGATGATAATAGACAATAGCTAACACAGGAGCTGTTCTAAGGACTTTAGAAGTATTAACACATTTAACCCTCTGTGACCCTAAGAGGTAGGTACTATTATTATCCTCATTTTATAGACCAGGAAATGGAGGCACAGAGCAATGAAGTAAATTGCCTAAGTCGCACAGTTAGTGGTTGGTTGGGGTGGGGAAGGGAGGGAGAGGGCATTTAAACCATTGAACCCGGCTCCAAAGTTCAGCCTCTTACTGCTTACAGTAGCCTCCTTAGCTTATATCCAGGATAGCTCAAACTTCATTTTAATTCATGCATGGGCTTGATAATATACTTGTAGAATCAGTGCTTCCTTTATATTTAAATTAATTGGAAAATGAAAGATCTCAGAAGTGAAACCTAAAATCTAAGTAGAAAACGCTTCGAAGATTTCAGAAATAACTGTTTGTACTATTTCCCACTTCTTAAAATTCTCTTGACTTGGCTTCTCTGATGCCACTTCCCCAGTGAGTCTCCTCGCCTCCACCATGATAAGAGTACCTAGCTAGTAGGTGGAGGGGACTGGATGAGTTAATGCTTGTGACGTCCTCCAAACAGATCCTGGCACAGTACTGTGTGCTCCTCTGATGAGAACTCCCAAATCTACTAATGTTATTCCAATCACTCCCCCCAGACCCAGCTCTTTTTATCTAAATGTCTACCAGATGGCTCCGTCCAATAGCAATCTCAAATTCAACCACCCTAAACTGAACAAACTTCCTATCTTGCCCCTGAAATCCACTCTTTTCCTGTCTAGGCAAATGAACCTCACAAAACCCATCACCTATGCTAGAAATCTGAGGGTCTCTTATCCCTCATTTCCGATGGGGGCCCGAGTACTGTTAATTCTGCCTCTTCCAAGTCTTGGCCTGTTGCAGATGCCCACCCTCTAAGCTCCCAGGCGCCCCTGTACCTCTCCCCCCAGTCACACACATACCACACGGCACCATACTGTTCACTGCTTGTGCCCCCACTAGACTGAGGGCTCCTGAGAGCAGATACTGTCTCGTCTTTCTATTCACAGGACCAAGCAGTTTCTGGTACCGAGTGGGTTCAACAAATGCCAGCTGAATGTACTGCTTCACTAAGAGTTACTATCTAATTATAAATAATTTCAACCTAGCCTATAAAATGCCTCCCACAGATGTCAAATTTTCAACAAATTGTCAGGGCTCTGGGCTGTATTCTTGCCTCTCGATTTATCTTTATATTTGCTGTCCCAAAGGATCATTAGCTTTTATGGTTCATTCACCATTTGCACCCAGTTATTTCCTGAATCTATCTCCTTAGTATAGATTTGTCCTGGCCTTGAGAATTCCCCCACTGAATGTATGTATCAAAGCCGCTCGACACTGTATAAGGTAAAATATCACCGAACTTTTCCTGGGTTCCCACCTATATAAATCGCTTAAGACATACACTTTCTTGTAAATGCTGTCACTTCTTCTTGTTTCCTACACTATCTTTCCTGCATACCCAGAATAACTGAATTTCCTTTGGCAGCACTGCTGCATTTGGATACACAACTCTGCAGGCGCCATTCTCAAAAACTAGACTGAATGGCGTCTCAGAGCTAAGGCACTAGTACAGCTCTTTCATAACAGAACCTCTTTTAGTACTTGGAATGAAGTCCGTTCACAGCTTAGCATCTTAAGTTTTGAATTCTAATAATGAGAATGTTAGGGTCTTTATATTATTTTTGAAACCACACAGAATATATTTGTTAACATTGTATCTTATACTTAGCTGCCACTAGCACAAGAAATGATTTACATTAATCTAAAAAGGTGGACACTTACTTCAGTTGGTTTTCTACCTAGAAGAATATAAGTAGCCATAACTTCATCATATTTCTGATTTATTAAGGCGTCATTTATCTCATCTCGTGCAAACCCCATGGTGACCATGATGTCTAGAAGTTAAAAAAATAAAATAAAATGCAAATTTTCTGAAAATGAGTTTATTTTAGTAAACAAACCAACAAAAGTGGGCAAGTTTGCCATCATTAGATATGAAAACTAAGTTCTGAAATGTTCAAGTGTAACATTCATTATAAAAACTTCTGGATTCTTAACATACCATATATTCAGATACTGTACGTTCACCATTTTTCATACAGAACGTATCTATAGCATGAGTGATATAGTCATGGACGCACTCCATTTCTCATTGCCTAGCACACTCCTGAGCTGAGTTCCTATGTGCAGCCAGGGACACAATGTCTGTCTCTCTCTGACACACACAAAATCCCTTTCTGTTCTCTCTCTCATTCTCTCAACACATCCTCAGCCACTCATAGAGTGGGCTCTCTCATCTCAGCCATTTCTGCTTTCTGATCTGAGGGCAGCTTGAATGCCACAGTTGTTCTGATCAGATTCCTCACACCCTCGAATGCTCTTCCCTCTGCCCTTCAGCCAGACAGGAGCGGAGCAGAGACGACTCAGCTGTGAGTTCCTGATGGCTTTGGGAATGAAGAGAGACACCTGCAGAGAACAGGTTGCAGGTGGAGCACTGGCTGGGCCTGGGAGGATGGGCCCTGCTGAGACAGTGGAAAACAGAAAGAGAGCTAACAGGTTTCTCCCTATTAACTCAGGGCCTCTACATTTTTGGTTAAAATACATGCTGTTTTGCTAGCACTTATCAGTCTGGTCAGTGCAGATACCTAAATAAGTCATTCCCCCTGTTACGAATTGCTGAAAGGAAAGAATGAGTTCTATCTACATAATGTTAATTTTCATATCACTGTTGTCAACAGTTGAATTAGATTATAATATGCATGAGAACAAACTAAAGAATTTGAAATTTGTAATGGTCAGTGTATATTTGGGGAAAGAAAAGATGATAATGCAAGCGTTTTTCAATTGCTTACCATATATACTTTCAAACTCTACTTTGGTAGACTACAGGACTCTTACACCTAGGGACAACACCTCTCACAATGTTTAAACACTTACCTATTCTTTTTGTGTCATTGAAATCTGGTTCAGGCTCAGTATATGGCTTTAGTTCTTCCTCTTCGTGACCGACATTCATCCACCGATCTTTCATTATTTGCTAGGAAATAAATTCTACATTATGTTCGGCCAACCAGAACATTCAACCCCTTAAATGAGCTCTATTTTAGTAAATGTGACATTTATTGGCTCAGTCATCAAGAATCACGTGATGTTTTCAAACTAAAGTTACTCTTTCCAGTTTGATTAGCAAGTCAACACGAGGTGTAGGACTTTGGGACACACTTATATATCTTAGGACAACGCTGACTATAGTCTCACATACTCACCATACTTATCAATGCAGAATGGCCGGGTGCCCATCTTCCTCT